TATTGCGGTCACAGTGTCTGTGGTTATCACACTATCTATATTTGTCACACTGTCTATGGTTATCACACTATCTATGTTTGTCACACTGTCTATGGTTATCACACTATCTATGTTTGTCACACTGTCTATGGTTGTCACAGTCTATGGTCGTCACACTATCGGCGGAAATGTACCTATAGATGACCCAAACTGAACTGTCTTACCAAACTCAATGACAGGGGGGCGCTACCATCGTTCAACTATATGGTTTCCAACATGGCAAAAATCGGAACCAGCGATCCGGTATTGACGGTGGCGCCCCACTGTCAATGTCATCGATAGGACAGTCCAGTATTTTGGAACTATATGCTTGCCACACTGTCTATGGTTGTCACAGTCTATGGTCGTCACACTATCGGCGGAAATGTACCTATAGATGACCCAAACTGAACTGTCTTACCAAACTCATTGACAGAGGGGAGCCACCATTGTTCAACTATTTTCCAATATGGCAAAAATCGGAACCAGCGATCCGGTATTTACTGTGGCGCCCCGCTGTCAATGTCAGGGATAGGCGAGTTCAGTTTATTGGATCTATCCAGCGTTGCCAGACGTCCCGATTTTGGCGGGACGTTCCGATTTTTAAATCAAATTTAAACGTCCCGCGCGGGACAGGCTCGGTCCCGCTTTTCAGAGAGAGACACTCACTTCACCAAACTATTGTTTGAATATTCTAAAGAATAAAACTTTTTTAATTTAGATTTTTCTTTTTTTTTTTCTTTTTTTATTCTAAAGACGAATTTAACGATAGAGTAAATCTGATTTAAAATATTATTTTTTTGTTAAAATACTTTTTCTATGGCTACTTTTGCTATCTATTCTCACGTAAACGTAATTTTAAGTCAAATAAAAAGATAAATACATATTTGAACACCTTTGACTATATACGTTTTTTTACTATGTCCCGCTTCTGACGGAAGAATCCCGCTATTTTCACTCAAAAAGAAAGACTTGGCGAAAAAAAAAGCTGGTAATGCTGATCTATACCTGTTGAGCGGCTTCTCCTTGTAGGTGACGGGTTTGCGCGGGCGGCGCGTGCGGCCCGAGGGCTCGTCGCTGTCGCTGGACGACGCCGCGCGGCTGTCGCGGGAGCCGCGTGACGTCACGCTCGCGCTGCGTGGCGCGTCACCGCCGCCGAGCATTTGCGGCTCGGGTACCACTTCCCTGTGGTTGAAAGCAAAAGAATAATAAACTCAAGATTTTAAACTTTCGCGTTCCATTTCAACTAAAATAGTAAAGATGAACTACACTGAAATGTCCCACCGACGACATTGACAGAAGGGCGCCACCATCTTCGTGCAACTATATGGTTTCCACCGTGGCAAAAGTCGGAACTAGCGATCCGCTATTAACGTTGGGCCCCCTGTCAGTGTCAAATAAAGGACAGTTCAGTGTAGTTCATCTATAAGACGCGGGCTTAACGCGACGTTTATTAATCAGTTACATTATTTACTCACGGCTTGACGTTTCGGCTGCGATGCTGCAGCCGTGGTCACAAACAAGGTCCGGTGATTGATAAATGCAAACCGCGAATTGTCAAGTACGAATACGGATACTGTGAGTGTTGTGTGTCGTGGTAACATCACTAGTGGTAGTGTAACAAATGACAATATGAGCGTAGTTGAAAATTTTCAAGCCCGCCCGAACGGACGGCGCCGCGAGCCGCCAGTCTGCTTGTGACCACGGCTGCAGCATCACAGCCGAAACGTCAAGCCGTGAGTACATAATGTAACTCATTAATAAACGTCGCGTTAAGACCCGTGTCTTATTAATTTAATAATAAACTTATTAAGGGCTTACGCTAAAACTCGCACACGCACGCGTGTCTGTATCAAAAAATAGTATAGATCGTTTCATCCATGAAGACACGCCCCGCCAATTTTTGGTCGAGGGAAGCGCGTGGTGCGGGGAGTTTGATCCGTGCAATCCGAGCGTCATTATTGTAGTGTGCGTGTGCACTCATGGATAATTTAACGTGTACCGATAACACTCAAACATTAGCGGAAGAATGGTGGGACGCGTCTTCGTGGATGAAATTATCTATCACTGAGTCATAGACCTTTTTGTCTCTTAACCTTTTTGTATCTGTGATAAACTGTAAATGAAACCTGTTTTGAGACAAATAAATACTTTCTATTCTACTATATTTATATTAGCATTGAAGAACATGCACCCGCGGCCTGTGTATCTACTAGCAGTGCTGCAGTGCCGCGGTGCAATTAATAGCCGCAGAGCGCTTGCTCGAGCATCAAAAATGATTTTAAAAATTCTTTCACCATTCGAAAACTACATTACCCACGAGTAACATAGGCTAAATTTAATTTTGGAAAAAAATAGGGTTCCGTAAAATATGTAGATAATGTAGTCCACGCGCGCAAGCCGCGGGCGGAAAGCTAGTTAGATATAAAATAAATATTTACTCACGATACTATAACCCTGGCGTCTGTCGATCCATTCGGGCTGGGCGCGTCGAACCTCACGGGCTTCTTGTGGGGCGAATCGCGCGATCTTCTGGTCGGTGAGTCCCGCGTTTCCCGCGACCTTCTGACAGGCGAATCCCGCGATCTTCTGCTAGGCGAGTCCCGCGTTTCCCGCGATTTTCTGCTAGGCGAGTCTCGTACTTCGCTCAATGCTATGCTAGGGGAATCCCGCGATTCACGGGATTTCCTCACGGGTGAGTCTTGCCTTTGCGTGGGCGATTCTCGCGACCGCTTCGGTGGGGACGCGTCATTCTCGTCGCCGGCGCTGTCGTCGTCCAGACGCATTTTGGCCACGAGTACTTTTAGGACTCGACCACTATTACTGTAGTAAAAAAACATAACTATATTAGGACGTTTCACATATTTACCTAATGGCCCCATTATACAAAAATAGTAAATAAAATACTCGCATTTGATAGATAGGTACCTAACTCATTAAAAAACATAGTTTTACTCTTTGTAAGTAGGCTTTAAAAGATCAACACGCCCCAATAGGCTAGTTGCCTAAAAAATTTTTTTTAGTCCGTAATGTTTGAATGATCAAACGAACTTACCAAGTGAAGTTCGATCTAAATTATCCTGTTTTCGCCGAAGAGATTTATTTTACCATGTAGTACCCCTGTACGACAACCCAATCCGCACACAATATTCAGCGTAGTAGTATTAAAAAACAAAAGAGCGGGCAACCCCACCCCTACCACGCTGTGGGCTCGGTGTCCGAGCGGTCTCATTATATTTAGAGAAGAGATGACATTGACGTTTACCTCCAGGGAAGAAGATATAGAAATCTTCGGGTTGGGAGGGACCTTAAATCTCTTCGGCGAAAACAGGATAATTTAGATCGAACTTCACTTGGTAAGTTCGTTTGATCATTCAATACATGGTAAAATAAATCTCGGAGGCGAAAGCAGGATAATTAATATCAAAAAATATTGGACACATATATTTTTATTTGTCAATCTAACAAATAATTACATAGTTATGGTGCGTTGAAGTTGCGCACGACGTCACAACGTGCGGCATTTTTAAGCAAGCGTTGATGTCACGGGCCTCTTCTTATGAACTTTGGGGCGCTTTATCTCTTTAAATTTTCATTAGTTTGAAAAAGTGAAAAATACGTGTAGAGTATTTTTTGATAAGTTAACTGACGGACTAATTAAAACTCTTGCTTTTTGACCCAGGCAACATCCCCATTATACCTCTGGGTAAAAGAAAGGTACTTACTACTGGTTCGGGACAATAATACGGCCCTGTTCTGAGAGAAGTCACTATTGTCAGCCAATATTTAGTGGTACATAATGTGACGAAAAATACATAGGAATAAAAAAGAAAGGGTGGTAAACGCCACTTAGTTGGTACCATCACCTCGGGTTCTGTGGAAAAAGCAGCGGCAGGCTATCAAAGTGTTAGCTTACCTAGGGCGCCTCGCGACGCGAGACTGCGCCCGCGGCAGCGGCGACGGCGCGGGCGACGGCGGCGAGGCGGACCGCTTGCGGCGCCGCAGCGTCGGCGAAAACTCGCATACGGGCGCGTTCTCCTTCTGTGGGAGGATATACAGGGTCTAACAGGCGATACATGAAAGTAATTACAAGAAAAATATAAATAAAATTTTAACTACTAAAGCCCGGTCTGCAAGCACGTAGAATTTAGTCCAATGACCCCAAGCTACCCATCCTTATCGCGCGCTCGTAATTATGTTGCGCTCCACACTCACTGCGGGCGCCCGTCGCACAGTTGCGACAACAATATAATTACGCGCGAGCGATAAGGATGGGTAGCTTGGGGTCATTGGACAAAATTCTACATGCTCGCAGACCAGACTATATTAGTAAAAAACCTTGTTCAACCTTCTCCTACAACTTTCAAGACGGTGCTTGTTACTGCCCCCACCAACCCCGCGTACCCCGCTACACCACCGAGCAATGAGGCTTAATGTTGTACCGAAGATACTGTATATTCGGGAAATCTTGTGGAGGTCTCAACCGGGAGACGAAACGAGAGCAGTGTACTGTATTACATATTAGATTCTAAGTTTTACAGTTTGTGGTGAGTTAAGAAATTAAAATAGGAGTTCACGCGGTGTTATTGGTAGTACAAGTGAAGTGGTGAGTGCCACGCCTCCGAGATGTGGGCAGTGGAAGCCCTAACAATATGACTGACATTGTACAAATGCAGAATCTGTTATAACAGTGAAGGTTACGTTGCCGCAGAATGCAAGAATCGCACACTGCTACACAAATAAAGGTACATTCTCTTTCTGTAGAGAAACATTTTGTGGAAAGAGACCGCGTATTGTACCGACTGAAGTGGTGGCGCTATTCAACAGGGAAATCTTGTGATTCGATATGATGATTAACATATTGTTGACAAATCTGTTAAAAAACATACAACCTCTTCAAGTTTTATGTACAAATTCTGAGTTTGTGTGTCATGAATGGTATTCTAAAATCAATTATTCTTCATATATTCATTGATTCACTCTGGTTCACATCCAAGCAAGCGATAATATAAAAAGCAACAATAAGCATTAATAAGTTAGTAATGAATTTACCTCTGCCTCGTCATTAGACAGCGCGGGCGAGGCAGTGTGCGCGTTGGCGTTCTCCTCAACTTCGGTGGTGGAGTCAGGTTCCAGGTTCGAGCGCGGACGGGACACGCTTGGCTGAAACAACGGTGAGGATAGTGTAGTGGAAATATAGTTACCGCCTGGAAGGGGGGAATATCCGACCATAACAACAGCGAAAGTTGGACCAGTTTCACAATAGTGTCCTAAAAATAATTTTAAAATAACATTCATACACATTATAAATAATAGGAGTTCAAAAACTTAACTGCATAATTTTACGGTTCCCATATAGGATTCATTTGTCTATCATCACACACTTGTTCACGAACTAACTACTTGATGACTGATATTTCCGTTCGAGAAAAAAATTGTGTTTTATTATCTTTATTTTATTTATTTATTTTATTTTATTTGTTTAACAATGTTTCAACAGCATTAAATTGTACATAAATGTGATCTTTTAAAAACTGTGATTTCCTAATTGTATTTTTAAACAACAACATTGTATTTTTGAACAAATAAAATACTTAACTTTATATTATTAGTACGATTTTAAGTAATAAACAAGGAAATACAATAAATAGTTTTACCTTATCATTTCTGGGCGCGTCGAGCAGCCAACTGGGGCCTTCTAGTGGGTTGTCCACTCTACTACTGCGAAAAAATAATCTGTCACTTAGTTATCGCTAGTATTTTTAATGGTGAAGCTAATTATTGGACTTAAACCTTTGAAACCTTTTATGGGTGCCTTAAAAATTACAGACGCAGCGCCACTGCAGCGTTTCTTCATCCTCATGCCTTTAATTTGAAGGCATCCTTGGTCATTTAGCTTCCCAAAGGTGCAGTCCAGAAATGTAGCTAGGCAATTTTTTTCACTAAAAAAGGATTCAATATATCTTGTAACTTTCTAAAATAACATTTTGATACAAAATAGTCAGTATTATTGGGAGAGTACATCGGTATTATTTGAAGAACGTATTTATTATACCATGGAGGAGTTTCTATTTCATCTTCAGGCTCCAAATCTTCAGTCACTGCATCCAGTCTCCGCCTAAAACGAATTAATAAAACAATGGTTACTGAAATATTTAGCAAATTAGTGTCTCATTTATTTATTTAATTAAAATATTTGTCTTACAGCATATTTTTGATGATATTAGTAGCCTCATAAAAGCTTGGTGGTATGCAGGTTGCATTTGACCATACTGTGCCATTAATTAGACATAAAATATTTT